TATATATATAAAGTAATACCCACATACTTAGCTTTCACTTAACGCGTTTTCGCATATACGCGGTGCCTTGCCAAAGCTGAACTTTCACTTAACGCGGCATTTTTCATCATATACGCGGTGAGTGTCCGGCTCGAGAGCTATTTTTAGATTCGCACCACCCCCCACCCGCCACCCTGCCTGACTGCCTGTTTTAGCTCTTAAAATTCATACAAATTACCCAGCCAGAATATAATTTACATTGCTGGAATTCTTATAATTTGGTGATCATTTTGAATATAAACAACATATATTTTGCATTAAACATACAATTTTTAGATAAAAATTGTTCTCGAGGTAATTATGTTATCTTTTGTCCAAAATATATGACATTTATATTCAAAATATTCCTGGTCTTACAAGGAATCCAGCAATGTCAATTATATTATCCTAACTTTAGTTTGAGGTATTATTTATTAAAATTTAGTGGTTATCCCACACATCTCCTTGGGACGGTTGGTGGGGGGTGGGGGGGAGGGAGGGACCGACTGACCGACCACCATCTGTTACCCGGTGAAGAATTATTTTTTTTTTTAACTGAAGATATTTGTTTTAGCTCATAAAATTCATACAAATTACCCGGTCAGAATATAATTTACATTGCTGGAATTCTTATAATTTGGTGATCATTTTGAATATAAACAACATATATTTTGCATTAAACATAAAATTTTTAGATAAAAATTGTTCTCTAGGTAATTATGTTATCTTTTGTCCAAAATATATGACATTTATATTCAAAATATTCCTGGTCTTACAAGGAATCCAGCAATGTCAATTATATTATCCTAACTTTAATCTGAGGTATTATTTAATACTAAATGTTAAAAACTCTTGAATGGAGGATTGGTGGAAGGTGGAGGGAGGGTTGGGACTGACCGCGCGGTTGGAAGAGGGGGGGAGGCAAGGTGGGGTACTTTGATTGACAGATAGTGTTGAAGAATATATTTTTTTTTTTTATTAACTGTAGATATTTGTTTTAGCTCATAAAATTCATACAAATTATCCGGCCAGAATATAATTTACATTGCTGGAATTCTTATAATTTGGTGATCATTTTGAATATAAACAACATATATTTTGCATTAAACATACAATTTTTAGATAAAAATTGTTCTCTAGGTAATTATGTTATCTTTTGTGAAAAATATATGACATTTATATTCAAAATATTCCTGGTCTTACAAGGAATCCAGCAATGTCAATTATATTATCCTAACTTTAGTTTGAGGAATTATTTATTACTATACCTGGTTTTCCCCAAAAAATTTCTCAGAGGGAAGAGCCAGTGAGTGTAGTGTGAGAAGAGGGGGAGGGAGTTGAGTCCATTATTTGAATGGACATTAACTTGGTGACTGTATTTCTCTATTTCTCTTAAGTATTAATTGTGTGCATGTACCATCATAAAATTAAGATGTTATTTTTACTGCAACATAGTTATTTGTCGTCAAAAAGTGGAGTTTGGGGGTCGGGCTGGGTTCTATTGGAATTAATCCCATATGTTCTGTTATTCACTTAACGCGTTTTCACTTAACGCGGGACCCTCTGGGTTCAATTGACCGCATTAAGTGGGGTACAACTGTATATATATAATATATATATATATATATTATATATATATATTATATATATATATATATTATATATATATATATATATATATATATATATATATATATATATATATATATATATATATATATATATATATATATATATATATATATATATATATATATATATATATATACACACAGTGACCCCTCATTTAACGAACACCTCGGTTAACGTAATTTCGATTAACGAACTGCCTTCCATAAGGATCTTCAATTCGGTTAACGAAAAAAAATTCGGTTAACGAAGTTCTTACGAACCGTCCTCAACATGTTTTCGCTTGCACTGACCGGGCAACCAGCTTTAGTATCAGTCCGCCAATACATTAATCGGTTCTAGGGCTTAAATTCCTTACTATTTTAGTAAATATCAAGAAGTTTATACTATTCAATAATTATAAAAGTTTAATATTCAATTTTTTAGTCATTTTAACAATTATTGAACAAAATTGAAGGTAAAGTGACTAGTTTAATGCACGGCATCCAGCCTCTTAACACAGCAAACAGGAGTTAGTCTCTCTCTGTTTTCACTGGAGGTAACATCTTGCTTGAGACTCTCTTCAACTAAACGCTTTTTTTCTGTGTTTCCAAGCAAATTATTGGTCATTTTGAAATTTGTTTTACATATTGACAATATATAGTGCAGTGCAGTGTTATTTTAAAGAAAATATTCTTTATTTACAACTAGTTTAACTTTGGAAAATACGTGTTGACATTGTTTGAATCCAGCATGGGGCCTAAGAGATCAAGAAAAGCAATTTCAATCCAAATAAAGCAGGAAATAATAAAAAACACGAACAAGGCATTAAATCAAATGCGCTATGCAAAGAATATGGCATGTCGGCATCAACTGTGTCGACAATTCTTGCACAAAAAGACAAATTTAAAGAAGTGAACGTGAGAGACAAATCTACAAGAGTGTTTAAAAGTAGATCCCTAATCGTAGAAACTGAGAGGTTACTTATCATCTGGATTAGGGAAAAACAGATGAAAGGTGATTCAGTTTCTGGTGATTTCATTTGTGAAAGAGCCAGGGAGATTTATGAACATTTAAAGACAGATCAACCTAGTTCTTCAGGAACAGAATTTGAAGATTTTCGGGCTAGCAAAGGCTGGTTCGAAAAATTTAAGAAAAGAAGTGACATTTTAAGTGTTGTTAGGCATGGTGAAGCTGCTAGTGCTGATAAAGAAGGGGCAGCAAAGTTTTTAATTGAATTTAAAAAACTGATGGAAGAAGAAAATTATCTTCCACAGCAAGTGTTCAATGTTGACGAAACTGGGCTGTTCTGGAAAAAGATGCCCAAAAGAACATTCATCACCAAGGATGAAGCCTCTTTACCTGGGCATAAACCCATGAAAGACCGTCTCACTCTATTGCTTGGTGCCAATGCTTCAGGGGATTTCCGACTGAAGCCTATGCTTGTCTACCACTCTGAAAACCCCAGGGTGTTCAAGCAACAGAAAGTGGTAAGAACAATGCTTGGAGGTTATTGGAAGTCCAACCGTAAGGCATGGGTGACAAGACAGTTCTTTAATGAATGGGCTATTGATGTGTTTTGCCCCTCTGTCAAGAGCTACCTAACCACCAATAAACTTCCTTTAAAGGCTCTTCTCCTCATGGATAATGCTCCTGGTCATGACCCTGACCTTGCCAGAAATTTGGAGTATAAATTTGACTTTGTGAAAGTGTTGTTTTTGCCTCCAAACACTACATCACTCATACAGCCAATGGACCAGAATGTGATCAGCAACTTCAAGAAGTTGTACATGAAGAAAATGTTTAGGAGGTGTCATCAGGCAACTTCCATTGATCCTGAACTAACACTGAAACAGTTCTGGAAGACACAATTCAACGTCCTGGAGGCTGTAAAATTGATTGTGTCATCATGGCAAGAAGTCTCCAATAGAACCCTCAATTCTTCATGGAAAGCACTGTGGCCATCAGTAGTCCATGATTTTGAGGGATTTGAGGATGACACAGAGTTGGACCAGGAGATTGTGTCCATTGGTCAGTCATTGGGTCTTGAAGTGGAGGAGAAGGATGTGGAAGAGCTTGTGATGTCTCATGAGGAGGAACTTACTCCTAATGACTTGAAGGAACTGGATGAGATGTTACGGGTAGAGGCTGACAGTGGTGAGGAGGAAATTGAAAGTGATGACCATATGTCAGCTAAACAGTTGAAAGATGTGATTTACCACTGGGAGAAGTTCAGGGAACTGGCTTCAAAGCACCCAGAAGTGGAAAAAACTGAACTAACTTTGTGTCATGTTGAGGACTCAGTGGTCTCCTTCTTTAAACATAAGTTAATGGTGAGGAGGACAGATGCCCCACAGACCACAATTGACACTTTCTTCAGTAAAAGGCAGAGGGAACAAGATGCTAGCCCTCAGCCTTCCACTTCAAGAAGGAGAGAGGATGTTCATGGTGGAGAATCTGTCAGTCCAGAGGTTCCTGACATTTTCATGGAAGGTGACTCACCTTCCAAGAAGCAGTAAAATGCTTCTCCTCCACCTCCACTTCCTTTTCTTCTCCCTTCTCCTCCTGCACCTCCCACTTCAAATGCACATCATCACCATCATCCAGGAGCCTTCTACATACACACCTCAAAGTAAGTAAATTTTTCCGCCATTTTTGTTGAAGTTAGGAAATTTTCGGTGAGCTGGAACCAATTACCCAAAAACCCATTGAAACAATGGTTTCGGTTAACGAACGTTTCGGTTAACGAACGACCTTCTGGAACGGATTGAGTTCGTTAACCGAGGGGCCACTGTATATATATATATATATATATATATATATATATATATATATATATATATATATATATATATATATATATATACAGTATATATATATAATATATATATATATATATATATATATATATATATATATATATATATATATATATATATTATATATATATATACTGTATACATATATATATATATATATATTATATATATATATATATATATATATATATATATATTATATATATATATATATATATATATATATATATATATATATATATATATATATATATATATACATAAATATATATATTTTTTTTTAATAGAGCTCTCCTGCCCTGTCAGTTCCCAACGATTTACAAATTTCTCCTCAATCATAAAATGGGATTCGTTAATTTGTTAATTTATGAGCGAGTGCATCAATGAAGATGGTACCATTTAAAAATTCTGACATATTGTCATGGCTGGATAATCATACTTGACTCCAAGTACAGTACACTAACAGGAAAGAGAGACAGTGTATATGTGAGTGAGTGTCAATGTCTATTTACTTCTAAAGCTCACAATTATGATAGCTTTTTATAACTGTACAGCATTCCAATTTAAAAACCAATTCAGTCCCTGCTTAAAAGTTATTCCAGTTCTTAATTATTCAAAATTACCTTCTGCACCATATTCAGATGATTTCTGAGAATAATCATCAGCGAGGAGTTTAGCATTTCCTTCTGAGCATTTACTTGCTGTCATCAGTTGATGAAGAATGTTTATGCTGGTTTCAGCCTTCTCATATGGAGGAATTTGATCTTTTCCATATATTTCCTGGAGCCACTGTACGACCTGCCAAGACCAAATTCCAATTAATGTCATCTGGTTATTTAGAGAAGCGATACAAACTAAATGTTTCTTGTTCATGAGTCAAATTCTAAGAATATTGGTGCTTGTAAATTCTTGCTTAGACAATCTAGTTATCAATCATCTTAAAAATGTTGTAAATTTCACACACACAAATGCAATCCACACCAGTGAAAATGTTGCTACTTGTTGGCTTATCATACATTGCAATACCATTAATTTTTAGCAGGAAAATGTACAGGATATTTACTAATACAGTACTGCACTTACCTCCCTGTGTTTGATGTCCATGTCTTAAGTGATGTGGCTTTCTCCTATGCCTTATCTCCTGCCTGCAAAATTACACCACTTGCAGTTAAGACCATGTATGGCGATAAACACTTCACTACCACGACTGACAAATCACTGCCGGCATAAAGTACCACCATTACCAATACCTATACTGTAGTATATCCATTACTGTACAGGTACCACCCATTTGCAGCAAGAAATTTACCCCAAACATTTTCATCACCATAATTACAACCCTAACACTATAACCATGTAAACTTCCTTTAATATCAACAAGACCATTGCAACAATCAACATTAATCAACCTCAGTATGACCGCCAGTAATTAATATCATCACTCCCTCAACACCTACCACTACCAACCACACCTTCCATCCACAGTACAGCACAGTTTTACTATAACCATTATGACTTTCCTCTACCACCATAATGAGGACTACCCTGTAAAGTACTACAGTACTACTACTCCCTATCACTATCATTGCTACTGCTTCTATCACTACCACTTGGAGATTGGTGTGTGTGTGTGTGTGTGTGTGTGTGTGTACTCTAGAAAAAGCCTAACATCAATATAACTCACATGGTCAGCAGTATTAACTTTCAGAGAGCAGAATATATTGTATCTCACCGAGCCCTTTGTGACAGAAAAAAAAAATTATCCTGCCATCTCTACCCAGTACAGTACAAGTTCCCAAGTTCTTGTAGCTGAACCTCATCATTAGTCATCTCTTCATTCTTTGTACTTCTTAACTAAGTAACTCCTTTCCCTCACACCTTTCCATTCACATACAATTTATAACTCTTTAAATGTAGAACATACATCCACCTTGTACAACAAAGGTAAACATGCATTATCTTTCTTATCCATGGTTCACTACACTTGAAATCCAGAGTTGTAAAACGTACCAAACATTGTTAATTAAGTAAAAGTATTGCTACATTGCCAAATGTTACTCAAGTAGAAGTAAAAGTTTCCAAAGTTCAATGTACTCAAGCAGAAGTAAAAAAAAAGTATCTCATTTATAAAGTACTAAAAGTAAAAATACCAAATTACAGGTATTCTCAAATATTAAAATAAATCCACAGTAAATTATAAAAAAAAATAATTAACTAAAGTTCAACATAAAACACAGCATTACACATGTTTACTTGCAAATCTTTCTATTGAGAGTAATCAATAGCCGATCCTTGAAATTATGACTGTCAAATCAGGATCTTTTAGGCCTAAATATAAGCCCAGCATGACTTACTGAAGGAGAATACATTCACCCGCTCTTCTCTCTGCAATCCATCGCAGGAATGGTGAACAGGCTGAAAATATATACATATAACACTACATTCACTTTCTTCCTTATCCACACAAATAACATCGACGTGGACTTATGGTCCACAGACATAATGTTGTCTGTGCTCACATTAGTTTAGTATACAGACCTATCTGGCAAGTATCTGAGGTGGGGGATGACCTGCACTTCTCTTCCTGTAAACTCTGTAACTGTCAGGGACCTCCTACCACAGGGAGAGTCACCACCTATTTGTTCGTAATAATTTAGATTTAATTCTTGTACGCTACCCACGCTTTGGTGGGTGCTAACTCCCATTGTCCATAAATCATATCAATATTGTCTCCGTATCACAAGTCATAGCGTGTCCTGCGATACACAACTACAAATGAATGTGTCTAACCGCAGGGTCTTGTGACTAGGCTTGTTGTACCCTGCGGTGTAATAAATGAAATAATGAATAATAAGCCCAACATCACTAAACAGTCACGCGCTAGCAGTAGATGCAGGTAGTGGGGTGTTAAGCTTGAGAGAAAAGTCACATAATGCTGGGAAACACCCCAGTAGCTCCATTCCATTGTAGTGGATTCCTCCCCTACAAGCACCGAACCTTCTCGAATTCCCCAGCCTACACCTCCAGCACCACCGACGGAGCGGGGCTCAACTATCTACCCACGCCCACCCCCGCCTCATAAGACCTGACACTGCTGTGACCAGTCTCTTTCTACTCAGTGCCACCAGCAAGCAACACCTCCTCTTCCGCTCCCGCCAGCGACCTTGGCGTCCCTCAAGCCGAGTGTCCCTCCTCTGGGCACCCTCACCACCCAGCTCTCTCTACTCAATGCTTATTACCATGCTACCTACCCAGCAACAAGCTGCATTGTACATCCAATACAATATGTATACAGTAAGCACATTGTGAGTTTCCTTTCTCCATCCCATCCTGAGTGTGAACCAATATCTCATAACCCCACAAATGGTGACCCCCGGAGATTCGCACTCACACAGGATGGATGAGAAACTGATCACTCTCCCAGTCTTCAAGCAACATGGAAGATTGGCTTACCCACGCAGAGGCAGCTCTCATCGGCTCTACAGGTACTGTCTCTACACCGCAGGTTAGACACCCTAAAGCAGCTCTGCTACTCTAAGCAGACAGCTGCTCCTCTTCCTGCCCCAAGCACCACGTCCTACCGACCCCAACACACCCGTCCTGCCTCAGACGCCACCCCCGGCCCAGCAGTACCCCCTGCCGCTCCTACTGACGCGGCCCCTGCTCCTGACGCAGACCCACACACCTCTTTTCTCCCTCAGGTACCCCCTGCTACTGTCCTGCACCCTGCTGCTGTCGTGGACCCTGCCGCTGTCATGCACCCTTTTGCTGTCATGGACCCTCTTCCTGCTGACGCAGCCCCTGCTCCTGACCCAGGCCCACACACCCCAGCAGGCGCATCTGAGGACTCTGTACCTGTCGTGAGGGAAGCACAACATTCGTCGCCTCCACAACCCTCCTCCTCCCTCTTTTCTCCCACAGATCTCGTGTATCTAGACAGAGTTGCCCCCCTCCTAGCGGCCGGCTCATCCACGCCCTCGCCGTTATGTCCCACATGTGGCATGCACCACCCGTTCTGCCTCACATGTGGCATGCAACTCTGCCAACCTCCAGCCGCGCCCGGAGGGGAAGGGGAGTATTGTAGTGGATTCCTCCCCTACAAGCACCGAACCTTCTCGAATTCCCCAGCCTACGCCTCCAGCACCGCCTACGGAGCGGGGGTCAACTATCTACCCACGCCTACCCCCGCCTTATTACCTGACACCGCTGTAACCACTTCCTTCTCTTCTCCTACACCCTCCACTTCTAATTCCCATCATCATCATCATCAACCAGGAGCCTTCTACATACACACCTCAAAGTAAGTGTACTTTACTGCATTTTGTTTTTACTTTGTATGTACTTTTCGGTGAGCTGGAACCAATTACCCAATATCCCATTGAAACAATGGATTCGGTTAACGAACGACCTTCTGGAACGAATTGTGTTCGCTAACCGAGGGACCACTGTATTAAAATGGTGTGCAAAGGTGTAAAAAGATCTAATACACACCACCACAAGACTTTCTTTATTCCAATAAATAAATAACAAGATATATATATATATATATATATATATATATATATATATATATATATATATATATATATATATATATATATATATATATATATATATATATATATATATATATATATATATATATATATATATATATATATATATATATATATATATATATATATATATATATATACATGATACAAAACAGATGCAAATCATATATATAGTATACAAGGCCAATACAGTAAAAGAATTGGACTGGTGAATCCAATGAGGCCATATACAATCACTCATACATTCCCCCAAACAGTTGAAAAGTTAGAACACAGACATGAATTGTAGATAAGGATTACTGTATTGAAAATGATGTCCTCATCTGAAGGTTCCAAGTGTTCCTTGAAGAATGCAGTGATGGGTAGCGAAACACCAGGTAACACTGAAGTCCATTTATTTATGGATAAGAGAATTACAAGTGGTGACTAGCGTGTGCCATGCACGGCTCACACAGTCAGACTGAGACTGCCTTGTCCTATGGCAGCCTCGGGACAATGTTGCCACATAACACGTGCAGTGTTGCCACGTAATTATATACATAGGTGCTACTCGGCACAGTAGCTTATATACAAGGTTGCTACTTGGCACAGTAGCTTAGATACATAACCTACATCTCCCTCCCCCCCTCACGCTCATAGTCTTTGTCTTGAGCGGACTTCTTAGTCCTAAGTCGCTCCGAGCATCGAGGTGCACTGTGGGGCGGATCCTCGTGAGGTGTAGGTGACTCGTCCTCGGTCAGGGGGCCAGCAGCAGGGGGTGGGACTGGCCGGAGGAAGCGGCGGTTCCTCCACCAGACACGGCCGCTCGGCATCCTGACCTTGTAGTCCCGCGACCGGCCGACGCCCATCACTATGCCCACCTTGTCCCAACGTGTCGTCGTCGGGTCCTGGACGCGGACAAGGGCACCAATCTCCAGTGGCTGAAGAGGGCGGGCACGGTCGTCATACCGAGCCTTGGCGTCCTGGGCACGTGAAGCTGCGCGGCGGTCGCAGCTCTCGGCTCTGGTCTGCCACTCCTTCGCAAAGGCCTTGGCGTGTGCAGGAACGCAAGAGCGGAGAGGGTGACCATACAGGATCTGGGCAGGGGAGCGTCCTGTGTGGGTGGGAGTGGACGCGGGTTCTGGGCAGCTCTGTGCAGCAGCGCCAGGCGCGTCGCTCGTTGATTCACGCACCCTGCTGGCGGTGTACCGAGCAGCTGGGATCTGCTCAGGAAAGTCTCTGGGCACCACGCCTAACTCCTTACAGTGCTCCCACGACAACAAGGGTGTAGCGAGGGTAGGCTGCACGTCGATCCATCCGTGACATGACCTGTCGCCATAAGTGATCTCCGCTTGAAAGGAGCCCACAGCGTCCGGCATCTGGGAACCGTCCGCATTGTAGTACTGCAGCTGCGGCGGTGGTCCCAGGTCGCGTTTGGTGAGGCCCAGTTTCTGGAGGTGCTCCAGGCCTATCACCGTAGTATCAGCGCCGGTGTCCGGTATCACCTCGATGTGACCCGACACATCACCGTGTGTGACGGCGACACGGATGGTAGGGGAAGGGGTAGCCCTGGGGCGTGTGGTCAATTCCACCCTCCTGATGTGACTCAGCTGCTGCTTGGGGCTGCGTGGGCCATCTGAAGGGAGCTGCGTGCGAACCACCCCGAGGGAAGTGCGCTGCTTTCCTCCTCGTCTCGGGCTTTTGGGCTTGGGTTGGCGGCAGCAATTGTCGTAGTGTCCATAGCGACCGCAGGCCTGACACTTGCAGCCTCGTGCAGGGCACCTGTCTGTGTTAGACCAGTGGCCCTTGCGGTCACATCCACGATACAGTGCGTCGGCTGCCGGGCATGTCTTGGGGCCATGCTGCTTTCCACAGCTGCCACAGGAAGCACTAGGCGGAGGCGTGGAAGAACATGCGCCAGCCTTCACGTTGTTGGCCGCCTTCTTACCCTTCTTGTATTGTGAGATAGCTCTCACAGCAGGAGGGGCCCGTAAGGCAGAGGTGGCGGACTTGGTGGCCTCGTACGACCGACATTCAGTCACTACCACCTGGAGTGTGGAGGAAGCGTCCAGGGGGATGAGTCGCTGCACCAACTCTTCTTGCCTGACACCTGTCAAGATCCCGTGCTTGATCCAGGCTTCCTCACATTCCCGGCTGTGCGCCTTGCAGACGTCGATCTCCTCTGACAAACTCTTCAAGCGTACAAAAAAGTCGTCAAAGGATTCATTCTCCGCCTGCTTGCAGCTGGTGAAGGCGCGGCGACGCAAGGCCTCGTTATTCCGACCCTTAACGTGCTCCTGCAAAAGGTCGAGCACATCCGTCACTGAAGATGTAGAATCGGGAGGCACTTGCAACGTGTGCTCCAAAAGTCTCTGGGTCTCCAGCGACAAACACATCCGCAGTTGGATGAGCTGTTTGTTTGGAGGCATGCTGTCAAGGTCCACCATCGTGGAGTAATCTGTCCAACGCCGCCTCCACTCACGAAAAAGCTGAAACGTGACGTCTGTTGAGAGGGCGGGTGGGGGTTGAACAGATGCCTTGGGAGCTGTTGGAGTAGCAAGAGTACCTGGAGGACGCTGGTGTGGTGGAGGAGGGAGGGTACTGGCGCCTTGGTGCGCGAGTGAGGGAGGGTGGGTTAGCGCCAGGGTCGCCAATATTGCATCAAAGCGCGCCTTTTCCTCCTCTCTTCGTATCTCCTCCCTCTGAAATTCCATCTCTCTCTACGTCGCTCGTCCCGGTCGTCCATCCACCTCAGAATTGTGGCAATGTCCGTCACTGGAGGTGGAGAATGAGAGTCTGCGCCCGGTGGAGGGGGAGGTGGTGGGGAGCCGTGTCTCCCATCTTGACGTTGTCCCTTCTTACCGCCCATCTTAGTGTGTGCATGGACTGCACTGTTTAGTATATAAAGTGGAGCCTCAACAGCTCGAACCACATATATATGACATAAACAGCGCAGAAATAACGCATAGAGTCCACTGTTCTGTCCGTGAGTGAGTGCGTGCGTGTGTGTGTCTGAGACAGCAGATGCACTCCTTGGTGGCCTTACTGC